CTTCTGAGGACGGCAACTTACTTGTAACTTGAAGTAACAAAGGCCACAATAACTCAACATCCCTAAGCCCTTAGCACTAGGCCCCCTTAAAACCACAGATCCGGAACAGTAAGTATAAGCCCTAATCTAAGACCCAGCCCTAATCCTGAACCCTCATCTCAAAATTGGCTGTGCCGTGAAGCTCTTGGTGTCAAAAGCAAGAGAGCTTGGGGAAGAGCAGCAACTAACGTAGCGTACGGCTTTCTGCATGCTACCCTTAGCGAAAGTACGCCATAAGAAGGCCCACTCCTTTGAACACGCCCACTTCAGGAGATCTACATGAGCCATCATCCGGCCCCAATGACGGTTGAGGATGTAAGGCTCAAGCACAAAGATCTTGAGCCTGGGCTTCCTGTTAATGTGCAGACCTAATGAATTCCGCATGGGCAAACCCTCAGAGCCCTTAGCCTCATGAACCCTATACCGGGGTGCGGTGAACCAAATTGCTTAAAGTGACTCTAAAAAGGAAATTGTATTATTTACTATATAAAAATAATAGTAATAATGACAACGCTGACTCCTAAGTCCTATGCACACATATTTGGGTAAGTTAGCTTATGTTCCTAAACAGCAGCCCAGTATTCCCGGGCTCCTCTCCAAAGCCAAGACACCGCGCAAGACGCTCGGAAAACTGAAAAGGCGTCCCAACCTCAGGTTGGGATAGGAGAACTTAACATGGTTTAGGGTTTAGGGGTTTGGGTTCCATGCATGTTTGGAGGACTAAGTTGTAAGACTGCAGACGTCTTATTGTGGCCGCAACGTGTAAACTACACCCCAGGTCCTTGACCTAAAGCTACCTAAGTTATAGTCTACACTCCTAGTATCCTCCTTAAGCACCCCAATAACACTCCCCTATAGAGTCCCGATACAACTCCCCTGTAAGGTGTCTAGACTAAAGCTACCTGGCTTGATGCCTTTTGGGCTGCCGACGATGTACCCTTGAGAAATACATGGGTGATTGTCAAAATGATGGTCCCTTTTTGGGTCCCCATTATATTATGGCACCTAATATGTAGGGTACCCAAAAAGGGACCATAATTTTGACATCCACCCACATGAAGGTTTGGGGCTATCGAAGGGCGTTATGTAACTATCCGGAAGACAATCCTTGTTCTTAGGGTCAGAACCTGATTCCCAAACTCTCCAACTCCCGACTCTGAACCCAAAGCTCCGGTAGACGGAGTTCAGCGTACATACCCACCGAAAAAGAACATTAGCTAAAGACTATCTAGTCAGCATCTAGTCTTGACAGGAGCCCAACAAGGAACATCGATTGGCGCTACCCCACCTTCCGATGATACCTGCACTTGCATTCTAAGAACTGTGGACTCCGCAAACTCCCATGCCAGGCGATAAGACTCTAAGAGGGCCGAAGCAATTGGAACAGGGTTTAGGTGTATCACAAATGGTGTCTGTACAGAAGTTCGGGAGGTAAAGTCAGGATTACGCAAAAAAATGGTGGTGTCCCTTCCAATCCACACTCCCAGACTTCAGCCTCCACCCGCTGTTTCTTACTTCAGTATAAAGATAAGAAGATCTTCTCCAAACAGGCACGCCTGCCGGGCCACTAGGGACAGAGCAGAGAGAGAGAGAGAGAGAGCGAGGCATAATTACATGTGTACGCATATACATAACACCGCATGTATGTGTAGTATGTGTATATCTAGTCAGTATAAGAGGATCGCGGAGGACTCCGTTTGAAGATGAGAAAGCGCTATATTTCAGAGTTACCCACATGGTAGTTTCCCTACATAGGGGGCCCCGATATAAAGCCCAAAATACTGTAAACTATAATCCTTACTATGAGGACCCCCAATAAAAAGGGACCCCGAATTTGGGAAACCCCCATATCAGGCCAGGGCTCTCACTTTTGCCTCTGCGCGGAGCCGCACAACCTGCAAACCATTGGGCTCCACATGTTTTGTGTTTTGGGTTTCTAGGATGGTTTCTGGGACCTTTTCTGCTCGCCCGTAATCCGAAGAATGTCTAGGGTTCAGGGTTTGGGCTGAGGGCATAAGATTGGGCGTTAAAGGGATGAGGGAGGGCACCAGGCCTCTGCATGCGGGCATATTGGGGGCGTGGAAGCTGGGATTCCACAGTCGGGATGAGACTCATACATACACATATACATATACATGCTTATAATCAGGATGCGCACTAGGACCGAAACCCAGATGCCATGATTTAAAACTTTGTTGTCGGATTCTGTGCTTGCATCATGACAACCCTAGTATGTACCACTCTTATGTGTCTATCACTTAAATGCAAGAGTCAATATGCAGGGACTCAACCCCGCTGTCTCACACTTCCCCAAGATAACATGAAACCTGAAAAGAGCACCCTGTGGACGACGGCCCTTCAAAGAGATGTGCCATGTGGCGTTCCGTTTTGGTTTGGGTGAGGGTAGGCGCTCCGCGAGCCGCCGGCCCGTTCTGATTGTTTGGGGGGAGGTCACAATTATGATCTTCAGCACGTGGATTTTCAGCTCTTGGCCTCATCATAGGCTGTGAGGGCGATCACAAGTCTCAGATTGGGGCATGCATGCAAGGTACGATGTGCAATGTAGAATGCTCCTTCAAGTTAGCTCCGGCTTTGTAAAAGGCCGGCTTCGGACTTTCCACTGCTCTGAGTTGACTTCGATAGCACCACCACCTCCCCATACGGGCTCCAGCAAAACTCTTTAAGCGCCGTTCCATAATACTCCCCTCCCCCTACAAACAAACCCCCTAAATGTTCGACATGTTATCATATATCGCAACGGGAGTATCTAATATTGCCGGGGTGGGGGGCTAATAGTAGGGGAGGGGATGAAGTCGGTAACTCAAGACACCCAGGAACCTTGAAAGCAGCACCCTTAGCCACGAGAATGATAATGTTTTGGTTTTGTTTGCCAGTGCGAATCCTATCCAGGGGCCGCGTCAGAAAAAACCTTCGGCCATTCAAGCCCTCTAAACCATAAACTCTAAATCATGAACCTTCACTCTAAACCCAGATCAAAGGCTTCAAACCAAAGTCTTAATTCGATGTCCAAAATTCTGAAGGTATGGGGCTCCCTGCTGCCACATCGACAGCTGTGGCAACTCCGTGAAGGTAGCCCAGAACCCATCGGCCTCGCAGGCTGCACGGTTTAGTATTTGGCATTTAGGCTTAAGAGTTTGGGGTTTTGCGCTTACATTTGGGGAAGTTAACTGAGAGAGTTGGATATGGACTTTGAGGTGATATACCCGTAGATAAGAGGGGGCGTGAAACCCTCAACTGCCATAAGCAGTCAGTTTCTAGAACACTGCGCAAGCTTTAGAGCTAAAACGTGTGTAGCCTGTCACAGAAGAAAAAGATCTACTGTGGGTTTGGGGGTTCGGGTAAGGCTTGCGGAAGGTCAGCTTTACATGGCAACTACAGAAGCCAACAGTATGGACACCCCATAATCGCTTTGTTATCCCCCAAAATCCCCGAGGTTCCAGGGGCCCCCTCGCGGAGAAAACCCCCCGATGGCTTGTTGGAAGCATGAGCGCCTGGGATTTAGAGCCGGGGTGTGTTCATGGCTCTGTCAAGAGTTGCGAGTCCGTGGGGTGCGCTGCGACATTGAATCTGATGAAAGAAGCCGTTCAGGACCTGGGTTGGGAGGTTTCGATGGTTTGTAGCCTGCAGGGAAGCATCGGGCTTTGCCGCCAGTAGGCGCAACATGATGGAGGATAAAGCGCCGTTTTCGTGGAAACGTGGGACTTACAGTCTACATGAGTACTCAAAGGGATCAAGAAATCCCCAGCTGATGAAACGCTAAGGGCCTGGCAATGCCGCCGTTCTGCAGTTTGAGCTTGCGGTATACGGATGGTTTCCTTACAAAAAACCGACCATCTATTACCTATCCAGATGACAAACATGTCCATGAAACCTGAGAAAGCTGTGACCCTACATGATCCCAGTGAGCCTTCGCCAAAATGGATTGCGACGCCCCGAGTCCTGTGGTACCAGAGGAGATTTAAGACTTTGGCTTACAGTGGATGGTATAAGTAAGCTCTAGTGTAAGGACCTATTCTTGCATTTATTAGATCTACGCATGTACGGTTAAGCTTTCGGAGCTAGGGCTTCCGTCCATACGCCTTCGGTAGGGTAGACTCCCAGAACTAAAGGGCCCTCGAAGTTGTTAGACGGTTTCCACCCCCGCCCGCCAGTAGCCCCCCATGCAACGTTGGATTTGGCAAAAAATGCTGCAAGAGGTTGGAAATTCCTGAACAGCTATCATCCCAAGGCTGTTCAGGCTTTTACGGTATCTCCCAAGGCCACTACGACTTCATAAGCTGTTGAAGCTGATTGGTTATGGCTGAGTGTGAACTGCAAATGGCGTTGAAGCTAAAAAACGGGCCTATCAGTTTCTAGTGGGCCGTGCAAAGCCTTGTAAAACAAGTTGCCATTTTATTTTGATAAACAATGCTGATGCTCTACGGACACTTCGAGTGACGTTTGGAGGGCTTAAGGTTGAGAGCTTACTGCATTCCTAGAGGGCAGCATGGAAACAAGAAGCAGCAAGCTTCACAGAAAAGTCATAAGGTTCTTGCAGAAAAGCTGCGAAGTCTTGTTGCCTACTGCCGGCATCCTTGACTGTAAATCCTGAAGCTTAAGCTAGATTCACAGTGAATAGGTCCCACCTAAGCACCAACAGTATGCAGAATAAGGACCTGAAATCTATCGTCCTGCCGGGCAAGCGTAAGAGGAGCCGGGGACAGGCTGTTGTCCGTGTTTGATACATGGCCCTCAGGTGGTGTGAGTGACAAAACTTCTTGCCCATCCTGCTGGGCACTCAGCTGTACTGCGTGCTAACATCACTAAACACTAAACCCTCAGTCGCGAATACATCCAAAACCCACAGCCCTGTCGTATAAATCTGAAGCCCAGGACCCTGCAATATAAATTCTAAACCCACTATCCATCCTAAAGCCTAAACCCTGGAGACCTTTTTGACATCACGAAGTTCCAAAGCTCCATTCTCCCTGGGGCAGCTTCACTCTGCCGACATGAGTGCATTGCTTGGCCCAGTCCTAAGCCAATCTCATCTCTTTTTGGGGTTGAAGGTTTAGGGATTAAGGTTTGAGGAGAGGGGAATGAAGCCTTGATTAGGGATTATTGGGATTCAGGGTCTCGGGTTGAGGGATTTAGGGATGAGAGGTTGCAGGGCTTAGAGATTGAACTCCTTGGGCCCTCATTATGGACCCCGAATTTCTAAGCCTCACGTACCTACTGTAACCCCTGTAGGCCGTTTGAAAGCTACTAACCCTTGATAGCTATACCCTTGGGCAAGAAGTGCCGGGCAACCTTCAAGAAGCCTATCCTCAGGTCGCCAGCAAAGTTGTTGGAGGCGACTTCCGAACAGTTTTCTGTTGAAGTCTTTGCAAACAAGTTTTAAGGTTTGCCATGACAGCCCCAACTAATCATTCTAGAGGCTCGTTTTCCCCCATCCTGCTTGACAATACTGGCCAATGGTTCTTCCACGTCCCTGACCTTCAGATCCGAACGAGAGGGTCGCAGAAGTCGGCAGGCATACGCTCGCGCATCATCCTATGATCCTCCGGCCGACGCCACTTGACACCATTAGGTCTCCTCCCCCTTGCCCTTGGAGTCGAACAGGGTGAATGCGTAAACGAATCTCCATCTTGGAATCCGCGTGCACTTTCCACTTGTCGATTTCAGCAGGAACCCAAAAGAGAGAAGGGGCAAAACACAAAAGGCTGAACTACGAAAGCGAAGCTTTTGAGAACATGAGATGAACCCTAAACCCTATAGACCCCAATGCCCGAATGCCTGCATGGCTACTTTTGAATGCTTCAAGAGCGGCTTGCAGAAGTGGTCTGAATCAAGTCGAGGAATACTATTAGCCTCTTTCCTCTTTTATGTGCTTAGGGTTTTGGGGATTAGGATTTCGGGTTTAGGAGCAGCTAGCATTCCACACAATCCATCCCCTGAATCTAACAAACGCATTTGGGTTGCCCAACCCCGACATTATCGCCTATGATACTTCCGGGTTCTCATCATCAAGGTTGGGTAACTAAACTCCTAGAACCCCTAGCAATGCAAAACCTGCTAAATCCTAGCCTGATTACTGAGGCAAATATGCGAAAAGCCTCGAACCGTACACCCATGACACCTTACACGTTCGAACCCAAATCCCAAGAGTCCATACCTTAGCCCCGATCACCCTACATCCTTCAGCGCATTCCAAGACTCCCTGTATTTGTAAGCCTCGTGTTAATCCTCTAACACTAATGTGAAAGGCCCCCCAATCCTGGGATGAAACATTCCCCAGAAGAGATTTGTATCCTGGGGCCTGGGGGTTATATTTGAGATTAGGGGTGGGGGGGTGTTTGATATCAATATGGCCTACAGTCTAAACTCCTAGTATCCCCCTTAATTCGCTCTGTAATGGGAACCCTGTATATATTCCTAAAAAGCCCCCTTTAGGAAGTTTATGAGGGGATTCCTTGTTGATGCTAGCTGCTGGATGACCTTGGCTATACAACCTCTCAAGCCCCCAAAGAGCCAGAAGGCCGATCCCGACGCTCTGCACACGCAAAATCCCAACTTCCCAAACCCTGCAACTTACCGTGCCCTCAAACAATTTGGAACCGAATATAAACTCATCATACAAAATTCCCTGGAAAGCTTGTAATGGGGCTCCCTTTCCAGCTTGTTTTTACGTTCGTTTCTTTTCTTTTTTTGTCTGGGGTGAACCAAATCATGCCTTGCCACCTCAAACCCCACAGGCCAAGACGCTAAACATGAAACCCTAAATAAACTCTAACCCTAAACGCTGAAACCCTAAATGCTAGCCCCTAGATCCAAACCCTGAACTCTAAACCTTAGATGCTAAACACTAACAATACCTGCCTTATGAGCTATAGAGCCTAAACTCCTAGTACCCCCCTTGATACCCCCTATAGAATCCCCTATATAACCCCCGGTAAGGAGTTTAGACTATAGCTCATAATCAGGGTTAAACACATTAAGATTATACTCCTTATATAAGATACTATACCCCAAAAAGAGGATACAATCTTACTCTATATTGGGTACCATAGTATCCCCAAATGAACATTCTAGAGCTATAATATAATATAGCCCCTATACAATCCAAGCCAGCTTCCATTTCATTTTCCATTTTCTTTTCCATTTGATTGTCCATTATTGGGGTAATATCCCTAAACCCTAAACCCTAAACCCAAATAAAACACTACTCATATTATGTTGCGTCGGAGGAGCGGGGCGCTTCGGCTCTCGCATCGACAGGCTCGGGATCTTGATATCCACTCGGTGAGTTCCTGGCAGATTATCCAGGAGTTTTGGGTTTAGGGTTTAGGGGGTCTAGAGGCTATAGTGTTTTGCACGGGCGATTAGGGCTTAGGGTTGAGAGTATACAAGTCCCAAGCCCTTCGCTCTATCAAGGCAATACCCCGTGGTAACATTGGGGCAAGAACAACCCCCTGTTCAAACGACAGGAGTCTACGTAGAGCCCATTAATATTAGGGATGGCGGGGGGGTTAATTTTAGGGGAGGGGATTAAGGGATGAACCTTGGAGCAGAGATCCTGCGCGGAGCACAGCGCCGCCAATGAGTCCGGAGAGCGGCTCGGGCGTGGAAACCTCCGAACGTTTGGCTCTGAAAAGGCTTTAAGGTTGAGGGTTTAGATTTTAGGGCTTAGGGTTGAGGGTTAGGGTTGAGGGTTTAGGGTTTAGGGTTTAGGGTCTAGGTTTGAGGGTTGAGGGTTTAGGGTTTAGGGTTGGGGGTTGAGGGCTTAGGTTTTAGGGATTTGGTTTTAGGGCTTCGGTTTTAAGGTTTAGGTATTAGGGACTGGGTTTTAGGGTTTAGGTTTAAGGGTTTAGGTTTTAGGGTTTAGGTTTAAGGGTTTAGGGTTGAGGTTTTAAGGTTTAGGCTTTAGGTTTTTTGAGGGAACTGTCCGGGACTTCACAGATATACAAGGGGTTTAGCCGAAGGGAATACAGGGGAGTTCATTCTATTTTCATTTCTACAGGGGCAGCTATGGAAACTCCCTTCTGGAGGATTCCGGAAATGATAGGCCCTTGTTGGGGGTCCCATTGATGCTACTGCTTCGGGTGCGAAGGCCGGGTGGACAAGTGGAACCGCCTTTTTTGCTAGATACTGATATGAGCTACAGCCAATATTTCTGACATAGTTTAATAATTGACATGGGTTCCTGATTAGTGAATAGTGTAGTAGGGACTATGCTAAACTACAAGAGAAAACGCCCATATCCACCCTTAAGGGTCCCTTGACAAGGCTGAGATTGACAGTAGTTCATGTGGACACAGGTGATGTCCAAGCCGAAATTTGTCTGCAGGCGTGTGAAGCTTTGCTGTGTAGGATTAAACCGTTGGGGCTCTACGGTTTGGCATCTTGAGCCAAATGCGCCCTGGCCAAGATCCGAAGTCTGGCACACTATTCAGCTACCGGCGGATTTTCCTGGTACCATCCCCTCCACTGAGCTTTAACAAGCAGAACATGACGGACGCTGACTTGCTGCATGTCAGTCTAAACTCGCGCACCCCTTCCAAGAGCATGATTCAGGAATGTAGTTTGACGGCTCAGAGCTTGGCGGTTCAGGCCTGAGGGGATGTCATTGAGCTGACCCAAATATCATTCAGATTTCTGCCTTTTTGGGTTGGAGTGCTGACGATGAGGAAGGATGCAAAGGATGTAAGCTAGGAACCTGCATAATTAGGAAAGGGACTCACACATCATCCTCATAGCGTCCCAGATGATATGTCCCCAAACCCTTTGCTGCTTATGTAGCCGACATGAACCCGAACTTCAAGCCCGGAACCCTTCAAATTCAAGGGTCAGGATTTAGGGTTTAGAGTTAGTAATGGGTTTCACGGGCAAACCGCCTTTCAACAAGTGTTTACGAACTAGGGCGTCATGCCACCAGAACTGGATGCCGGTGTTTGATCTGGACACCCCAGACCCCAAACAACAAAAAAAATGACCTACCCAAACCTGTCACATTTTTGAACAACTGACCTACCATATCGCCCATCACCCCTACCCCGTTCACTCCCGCAGAATTGTTAGCAGTTCTGCTTGGATAGGCCTACTCCTACAAGCGCGACCTCAGTCAACATTCCAAATCAATTTTGCAAACCTTGTCTCCCCGCACAACGTGTACTAGAATTTCTTATACCAAAATAGCGTATCAAAATCACTGCTGACCACTATTTCTATCTACTCAATGAAAAGATCCCATAGGTCTGGACTTCCCCGTTACTTGGGAGCTTAGGGTTTGGGCCCTAACCCTAGGATCCTGAAATACCTACTACATGCCCTATATGTACCCTTAAAGGTCCCCCCTGTAAAAGGCCTAAGGGCCCATAGTAGCGGCCCAAACTTCTAACGCTCGAAATTAGGGGCTTAGAATCTAGGCTAAATTCCTATGGGTTCACGTTTTTGGAAGACTGGGTCTTCAGTTACTGTCAAGACGTAGGGCTCTGGGTTTGGGGAAGTCACCTGTTCCTTTCAAACCTGCAGGGGCAAAGTTTGGGGTTTAGGGCTTAGGCTTTAGGGTTCAGGAAGGAATCCCTTCACCTTAAACCCCAAGCCCTTAACCCTCAACCCTTATGCGCCTCGAAGGAGTCATGCCATACAGGAAGTTCCGGCAAGAACTTACCTAGGCAAAGGGTTGAGGATTCAAACTTAGAGTTTAAGGTTCAGGGTTCAGGGGTGTATATCTTTACTGCTATTACTCTTATCACTATTTCTATAACTATTGCTATTGTTTCTATTCTTACTACTATTATTACTGTTCTTACTATGACTACTATTCTTACTTGCATGACCATTATGAATATTGAGAAGCTTTGAGTGTCGAGGTTCAGGGCTTGGGGGATTCCCAGGTTAGCCGTCCAGGATTACGGGACTAGCTTGCCATGTGAGCACTGTGGTTTCGGTGCGCTCTGTGTATACTACATGGGGAGGCTGGGAAAAGGAATCTGACTGCCTGTAAGAGGTACTTTCTAGTAAACCCTCTCCCCTTATAGTAGGCTTCATAATAGGGGTCCTCATACAAATTGGGGGGGGGGTGTATTTATCTACGTTATCCCGAAACTTTCCACGTCATCCCATAGAGCTGAACCATGCTGAGTCAATTCGCCGCAAGTGATTCATGCTCAGACCCATGAGAAGTAATTCCCTCCCCCTACCCCCCTCAATATTAACTCCCATAGTATGTGGTATACTCTAATGTTTTGGGAGTATTCAATATTGGGTCGGTGGCGGGGGGGTGATATTCGGGGAGGGGATTACGCCATGCCAATGATCATGGAAACCTCTCGGAGCTTTTTCGCGCTTGCTATCATTCTCAGCTTACGTTTAAGGTCGTGCAGGATTTCGTCTATCAAGCGTACTCCCAGAAATTCGAGCAAATGAAAGCTGACACTCAACCAAGCCTGGACCCCCAGACCTTGGAACCCATGTCTGAAACCCCTGAGCCATAATCCTCTCCCCCTAATATGAAACCCCCGACCCCCCTGATATTAAATACTCCGCATTGTGGTACCTTATGATATATTGGGAGTATTGAGCATTAGGTGGGATGGGGCTTCTAGGGGGAGAGGATTACACCGTAAACCAAAAAACCTGCACGAAAGTACACTCTGGATCCTAAAGCGCCAAGTAAGCTGCACATGGAATCAGCGGGCCATAGCCCGAATGGGGCATGACGTCCACTTTCAGTGATGAACCTTAGCGACTCCAGGCTCTGCTATTCCAGTAATGATTTAGAACAGGCAATGCCTAAACCCCACAGGTTTGTGGACCAAGAGGATAAGAAGCAAATTCGAGTCAGGCAGATCGTGCAACTGAAGCTGTCAGTACCAAGTCTTACTTAAAAGTCCTGAAGACTCAAATACTGAACCTCAAGCAAGGCTCCAGACCCCGCAGCACGCACAAAAGTCTCAGCCGTAGGTTGGGCCCGAAACAACTCAGATCTGCGAATCGCAGTGCACACACCCTCAAACCTCAGAAAGAAAGCTCTGGGCCATACTCATATAGTCGTTGCCGTAGCAGCTGCAATTTCAATTGTAGCTGCAGTGGAGGTGGAGGTGGAGAAGGTGGAGAAGGTGGAGGTGGCGATGAAGGGCAGTGGTGGTGGCGGGAGCAGCGGTCGCGGGGGTGGTTGCGGGTGGCTGCCGGTGGCATTGCGGGGGCAGGGGTGGCGAACGTGGGCGGGAGTGGGGCTGAGCAGCAGTAGCAGCGGCAAAGCCAACCGAGAGTGGCAATGAGACTCAAGAATATCAATACAGCTGAGAATTCTAGCGCTATTGAACATATTAAAACGCACTACAGCGACGAATAGTCCATTCAGGCCACAGAATATTAATGTGGGAAGCCCCCTTGGGCTTGCCAAGTATATGTTGCATGCATCTAGGCAGCTGGACCCTTAGGATCACTTTGTGGGAAGGATTGCAGTTTCTGCATTTAAGGTTACCAAGGGACCCACTTTTTCGACTCTCGTCTGCCAGGGGCTTTAACGGAAATGTGGGGATTACAGAGGGGTTCTCCGGGTGGCTGGTAAACATACATTGGGTATAGTTTTGAAACTCATTTAGGTAGGCAGGGCCCTTTTGAGGGGATTGACGTGGATTGTGGGAGTATATAGGGCTTAGGGTAGACTGCAAATCCTGAACCCTGGACCAGCTGATGAAGAATCACCCCAAACCCTGCAAGACGCCAATGCATACTTGGGATGTATAGGGTTTAGGGGCCATCTTCTATGCAAGACGGTCATCCCAAAACCATCAGCCCTCATTAGCCCTAGCTTTTCCTACTTCTCTTTTAGTATCCTTACTATCCCTAAGTTCCCAACCCTAAACCCCAAACCCCTAAACCCTAAGCCCCTACACCCCTAAACCCCTGAACAGTAAGAATCTGGCTGGAAATAACGGGCCACACAGGACGCCCCCAACTCTTCGGGCCTCCATGGCCCATCCTCCTCCTACAGGGTTGAGGGTTGAAGGTGTTCTCCCAAAACATCTTCTGGAGTTTAGGACGCAGGGTTAACGGTCCAAGAATCAAGAGTTAGAGCCAAAAAGTTCAAGGTTCGAGGTTGAGTGTTTAGTTGTTATATAGGATTGGATGGTTTTGGAATGTAGGGTCAGTTGGTGAGTCCAATGTTTAAGAGTAGGCAGGTAGCCCAGGGCTTAGGGTTTTAGAGTTTGGGGTGTAGGCTGTAGATTTTATGTAAAGAATGCAAGTCCCCTTCCTGTCTGTCTGTCAGTCAGTCACATCAAGCATCAAGACATGGGCACATTGCGTGGGCTTAGCTATGGAGGGTGGCCGTAGAAAGAAATCCTCAAGTCCCGTAGCTTGTTTCTTCCGGATGTTTGGAGCCGTATGGTTCAGGGTCTTGGGTTTGAGGCCTTAGGGTCCAAATGCTTCAGCAGGATCAATGTAGGGGCCTGAGAATTAGATGTGGCTCTAGAGTTGATTCTGCTCTTACTTTAGAAAAAACGAAAGGATAATATTCGGAATCATACTTGGGCCTATAGGGTGTAGGGCCTACGAGTAGGGCTCCGGCAAACTGCTATCAATGCCTTGGGGAAGATAAGGCGCCAAGCTTTAGATTTTGGGGAGGCAGTCGGATCCGCAATGCTCAAATATGGGGCTATTGGGGACCTTAGGGATATGAAGGTCCTTAGTGGGGATTCTGTACGGAACTAGTTCTAGAAATTTCTGCGGTATAGGGACTTCTCAACGGGGCCTCGTAGGGATTCTGGGTATGCGAAATGCCGGGTGCCAAAATTTGAAGATGGCAGTAGGGCACTCATTAGGGTGCAGACTACAAGTATATGAGGATTATGAAGGAATAATGATCACGATTCTTCAGGCTTTCGCATTGTTAGCTGGGGATTCTGATGGGGATCATGTCGAGCCCCACCTGCAAAGAAAACGCCATCTACCAGGACCTCCAGACTACCCCGAAGTACTTGCATATGAGCCTCCATTCCTTGAAGCATCCTAAGAGCCTTTTGTGTGGAGCATCTTTGGGCAGCATCCAGCAAGAACAGTCAGAACTGTAACGCACTTTTTCGCTGCTTGAAACTTGGCTATCTGCACTACCGTAATAAGAGGACTTTGGTACTGTAACCCCAACCTCTATATCAAGACCCAATAAAAGTCACGAGAGTCATCTGATATTCATAGAGGTTGGGGCTACCAGAATCTCCCTATTACACTAGGAGCACAGAAGCACGACAGCACCAAGTGCTAGAATCCACCGGTCCATGCGTGTGTTGCTGGATGGGGAGATGTAGCACATGCTTGCATAGCAGCAGAATAATCCGGGCAGAACAAGCCGCCCCATGATTGAGGCAAACATCTCGGGAACGGGGAGATGTGAGTAGAGTGTCCTTGGCTGGCCTAGAAGCATCAACATACAGGGTCTTTGCAGGGTGCAACTTTCAAATCAGAACGCGGAGGCAAAGAAAACGTTCTATGTCACATACCTTTACGCCCCGGCGCTCCTTAACCCTGAATCCTAAAGATCACATCCTAAACCCTAAACCCTAAACCCTAAACCCCAGAACTAGAACCTGGAACAGGAACCATATCAACCCTTTCGTAGCCACAAGCGTCGTAGCCGCCAAGAGGACTAATCGCAGGAAGCGCATGGCGTTTCTTGCGCCTTGCTTCCGGCTGAAACCTCATGTTTAGGGCTTGAGGTTGATGGTTTAGGATTTGGGGTTTAGGGTTTGGGGTTTAGTGTTTGGGACTTAGGTTTAGAGTTTAGGGTTTGAGGTTTAGAGTTTGGGGTCTAGGGTTTAGGGTTTAGGGTCTGGGGTTCAAGGTTTTAGGGGTCCAGGATTCCGGGTTTAGGATTTGGGGTTTGGGGATCAGGGTCTAGGGTTAGGGGCTTGGGGTTTGGGGTTCAAGGTTTTTCTTTGCTTTGAATAGTGAACGGTCAGGGTTTGGAGTAAAATTTGAAATTTGGGGAGTTAGCTTTGAAGGGGTTCTAGGAGTTATCTTGGGTTACCTAGGGGGATCTAAGGTTTAGGGTCTTGGAGCTTAGTGTTGAGGATTTAGCGGTCTAAGGTTTAGGGCTTAGGGTGCCTCAATGGCAGGCCCCTAACTCTGCCCTCCTTGATATGTCCCTGGAAGTAACTCAGAATACACTTTATATACAACTCGTGGGTTGTTCTCAAGATTTTGGGCCCCTTGTAGTTATAGATTATAGTACGGCACCTGGTAGTTAGGGGTGCCAAAATGGGACGCCAGCTTTGGGAAACACCCACACCTCAAACCCCCAAAACCCTAAACCCTGAACAACTAGAGTCTAAACCCTAAATCCTAAACCCTAACCCCTAGCCCCTAAACCCCTCAACCCTAAACAACAAGGATCCAGTAGCCAGCATCCTCCGGGAACAGCGGATTTTGAACCACTCTCCGCTTCCAAAGCACTGGGTCATTCAATATGTAGTCGTACATTCCGGGATGCTGACCTCGTCAAAAACCCTAAAACCTTAACCCTACACCCTACATACTCTGTAGGAATCTATGCTGCTTGGATTTTCGTTTTGGGGGCGGACTTCTGCTGTAGCTGTATCAGGTAAGGGGATATGATTATCTATTCAAGCTACTACGTATATTACGCAGATTTTATCTTCTTGGAACTGCTTTGTGCGTTTCTACCGGAGAAGGCCTGCATCTTCGCCGTGTACCAGAACCCTCATCAACCCTCAACCCGTAAACCCGAAGGCGACTTCTTCTAAGCACATTGGCCTCCATATTTCTTGCGCTGGATCTTGCCGATGGCTTCTTTCAGTGTCTCTGAGCTGCTGAGCGCCTTCACCACTGCCGCTGTGTATGGTGTGCAAAGCTTTAAAGCACCAAGAGGTGCGTCGAAGATCCTGCAACCCGGCTTGCATGCAAAGGCAGCGCAGAATTCCACACCAGGCTCTCGAACCTTTGTCGTAGACTCTGGAAACAGCTTGACTGTCTGTAGTTGGCATCGCTCCTGGCAACAGATGAAGAAACAGCATACGGTCACGTATCGCTTCACAGACTGGACATGGTGACACAAATTGATGATGTCCAATACCAGTCCATCCCGGGACACCATACCTGTCAGAACGGGAATGACAGGAGAAAAACCTGCGTGCAGTACTCTATCTATGTGAAAACAGGGCATACCTCATTATAGACAGAAAATGTGCCCAACAACGAGTCAGATACAGGGCATGTTCTTCTCCTCATCGTAGACACCGTGCCCAAAGTAGAACAGCATGGCACAGTCCTTCGGTTCCCAGGCCTTCATCCACTCCAGCAGCCTAAACCGCATGTCCACAGCCTTCAGGTTATCATGCCTCTTCTTTGCCACGGCTCCTCTGAAAAACTTGGAGTCTTCTAGGGCATGTGCATCCACCTTCACCTGGGTTGCGGTTAAGGACTTCAAATTAAGCTACCATAATGGGAATATGCAGCAATGAATATGGTTTCCCCAGCATAGTAACTTAAATTAAGTTCCTTAACAGCATGGGTATATGTATACGTTTATACATACATATATATATATATATACGTATGGCTTCCCCAATATACTTAGTAACTTGAATTCAGTTCCTGAACAGCAACCCGGGTCACACCAGGTAGGCTTGGCCACCCAGTTCCTGCTGCATAGTCAGCATTGGCGACGACTAACACTTTGAATGGCGAATACTTTCGGCCAGCCATGGGCTTCAGGGTTTTGGATTATCCGGGGATACTTAGGGAGTAGGGCTTAGGGTTTAGAATTCTAGGGGATATTTAGGGATTAATGATTAGGGCTTACAGGGTCTGGGGTTCAGGGCTTACGGTTTTTAACTTGGGGTTTGGGGCAATCAATTTGTGGGTTAGGGTGGAAGGTTCAGAGCTTAGGGTTTGGAATCTTCAACTTGCGGCTTGGAGTTTAGGGCCTTTGGTTTTAAACTCGCAGTTTGGGGTTTTAAGGTTTTGGATGTTCAATTCGGGTTTACGGTGTGGGGTTCGGGGCCCAGGGATTAGGACTTGGAGAGGAGATGGAGCGTTTCGTGGCTCAACTTGGACCGATATCAACTGGCCGCAGCACAATGGTTCAGGGCGCAAAAAACCACCACTCTAAATATGGGCGGTTTCCGAAATCAGGTTCCCTTTTTGGGAGCCCCTCTATAAAGGATCATAATATATGGAGCCCCTACTTATCGAAACGCCCGCTATATATGGGACTGGCGTAAAGCTTGGAGAAGTACCAACCAGGAGCTGCCAGTGCGGACATGACAGGCAAGGCCTATTTGGGAGAGATATCTCAAAGCGCTCATGTGAAAAAAGCTATCTCAGCTTTTATAGTGCTTTTATGTATATACCACTTAGGAAGATTTGCTACAACCACTCCTCTTGTGCTTGCTTGAGCTGACCTGAACCGTGAGGATTGCCCACTCCATATATGAAGTGAGCCCACGAACTCAGCATACCGTTTCTAGCTTACCCGCCTAAACCCAAAGGCCAAAACCCCTAAACCCCTAAACCCACACCCNNACACCCTATAAACCCCAAAGGCTAAATGGATTGTAGCATCAAAGTAAACTGCTACCTCACTTCATCCTGACCAAAACCCTCCCAAACCAAGATCAGGATAGGTTTAAGGGTTTAGGATTTAG